AAGCTGTGATGAAAAACCAAAATGAATACGTGAGGATCAAGGCGAAAAATGGAAAAAAACTAATTTCCCAATGCGTCGCGTTTATCTGAAAGTGCCAGAAAAGTCGAATTTGTATGGCCTCCAATTAGGTTTTTGGAAAAACGCTAAATCGCCAACAAATTCAGAAGTATCAAATACATTTCAAATTACATTGGCTATAGATTTCAGAACAGAAAAAAATAAACAGAATTGCGATTATTAAAAAAAACCTTTACGGCGCGAAAAAAAAACCAATATCACTTACAAACGAAGCAAATAAATTTGAATTTATCACTAAAATTATGAAACTAAATTTGCCTCATTTTTTACGTTCAACGAAGATATATGAAGCAATAAGCACACTTAACTTCTTCTTTTGAGTAAATGTATCGCACCTTTTCGTAAAAGTAGAATGGCTATAAATCCTATAGAGAAAAAAGATGCCTCGCGGAATATCCCTAAAAAAGGGGAGCCTTGTTAGCAGCTCGTTGGCTGCTCCTGGCACTTATTGTCACTTGGGCTACTTTCAAATACCCAGGACTCTAGAACAGAGTGAAAACGAAATGAGAAACATAATTTTTCAAAAAACGGAAAAAAACCAAGAAATTAGCGAAAACATAATATTTCTTTTTTTTGGGATCACTAAAACCTAAATTTTTTTTTTTGGGATCCCTAAAACTCAAATTTGAGTTTAAAAAAAAAAGAACTGATACGGCCTAAACGACAAAAAATATCAATATCAAATGAATTATCCGATCAGTGTTCAGTCAGTAAAAAATATCTGCTCGTTCACTTTGGATTTACCATGCTGCACGTGCTGGTTCACCCCATTCACGGCCATATTTCGATTGGCGTCCTTCGTATTGGTCATTGTAGTACTGCAAACAACATAAATTCACATTGTTCAATAATAACGATAGTTACTAAAATATGGCTCGGCTCGGCCAGGTCCAAAACACGATATGCGGCCGATTTTTTCGAATGTCCTTACCCCTCTCTGCGGCACAGTCAAGATAGATAAGAGGAACAGAGGGGCCAGTGAGGAGACCCAAAATAACACTTACAATCGAATTTCTACAAGCGAAATGCTCGGGATATAGTAAGCTCAGCAGCAGTAACGATAAAAAAGCAAGAGTACAATGACTGAAGAGAAATAAAAAGATTTCAATGTGAAATCTCAAAAACTTACTTGTTGACCACCAAGTCCACCACCACCAGCACCACCACCATAACCAGCTTCCTCATCTAAAACGATAACAAATTCAAGCGTCAGCAATCTCCTCCTACGTAAAACACTTGCTATAACTCTTCAGCAGTCACTTTTTTTAGAAGGCCGAAGCACTCGGACGTAGCTCGAATGGTATGGTACACAACTATCGTTCGCTCGCAAGACTGTCATCTCGGCTCGCTGGTTGATTAAAATTTAATGGTGGCCATGACTCCCTGGTCACTGGCGGATTCAGGAGGCGGGGGGAGGGAGGTAGGAGAGAATGGAGG